TAGAGGGAGAGATGGATCAACTTTACTTGGTGCAAATTGAATCCCCCCTTCAGCTGTTCCAGAGTTGGTAGAAGGTCCTATAAGTTACAGTGGAAACATCAGTTAGTTCAATTTGAGTACATCATCACACCAGGATGTTGCTTTTATGCTTTTATTCTTTCAGAAATGTTTTACCAGAGGAAATCAGATTCGTAACAACTTCAATATTTGAGATATCATGGTCATTTATATCCAATATAATTGAAAATCTACCTCTGCCAGCAGATGAAGTGTGCCCTCCACTTGTTCCACCCGCTGCAGAGCCTCCATGATCAGTACCTGGTACTCTTCCTTTGCCTGAGAGATAAAAATAAATAAATAAATAAAACATTGCATTTTTAAACATACAAAATGTAGATCAGTTAAAAAGACTTAGAAGCAATGAAAAAACTGCATATCTAGGTATTCATTGTGGCTGCAGAGGGCGCTGTTGCTTAATAAAAGTTGCATAGTGTTACTTTAATGCCAATTAATAATAACATCACATTGTCCACTTACTGCAGACGGGGCCTTCACTCCAGTTTCCACTTAGGCAGTATATGGATTTCTTAGTGTGCCCTCCCTCTATAGTATATCCATCTTTACATTCGTACCGCACTTTTGAATCTCCAGCGAACAGCTTCTGATATCCCAAATCAATGATCACAGCATGGGGGACTTTGGGGGGCTCACTGCAGGCATCCATACTTCCTGTAAATACCATAATAAATCATGAATAAGAGTAGGAAAGGGCGACTAGATGGGAAACTAACATCTGACACTTACTCTCACAGATGGGCAAAGAGGACCAGTTTCCATTTGTACATATGCCTGTAGCGTCGTTGTCTTTGTGTTCATATCCTTTGTCACATGTGATCCTTATGATGTCTCCGTTCTCATACCAACCATCTGAGCTTTCAGTGTATTTGCCATTGGGTATGGTTGGTGGGATACAAGCATTTTCATCTGGAAAAAAAAAATAAAAAATTCTGCCGACATTTTAAGACTTGCCACAATAACTTTTATAAAAGTACGATACAGATGTTTTATTTTCACTTACCAAGGTTTGAGGTAAAACATCTATATGCTTCTGAGATACGCTTTGTGTTGGTATCCTTATTCAAATATACACTATATATTGAATTTAAAAACGGGACTTATTGGCCTCTTTGAAAAAAAGCTGAAATGTGACATGGCTGTGTGCAGGCTGTGTGCAGGCTGTGTGCAGGCTGTGTGCAGGCTGCTTCGATTTAATTGCTGAGATAATCTGACATTTTTCCAAAAATGTTGTGACCTTGAATGTAAAGAATTTGAAAATCGCCTTCAAAAAAATTCTAGTAGAGATATGACTGAAACACTTACCTATACATTGTGGTAGATGAGACCATATTCCATTATCACATGTGCTGGTCACCCACCACCCCTCCACAACCGGTTGACGTCCAGTGTCACAGGCATAAGTCAGCTTGGTTTTATGAGAAAACATTTCTTGTCGAGGGACAAAATAACCTCCAGCCAGTGTGGGAGCACGACAAGGCTGAGCTGCACTCTGAGCTAAAACAGTGATAAACAAATGTACTTACTACTCACTAAACATATATTAAATGAATTCAGATGTTTTTAAGTGACAGAGCTGAATGTTCTCACCGTGCAGCGCTCCAGGAAAACAAACCAGCAGAGCAAACCCAAGATATCTCATCCTGTCAGGAATTGAATCACAATAACGGAGCTGAGTGAAGAGCCTGATTCAGGTCAGCACCGGTTAATAATTACTAAAGGGATTTTCTGAAAGAGCCAATAAGTTAAGAAATAGTAAACATAAGGTTGCAGTTGTTTAGAATGCAAATAAACTAAGAGGCCTCGTCCAATCAGTCACAAATGTGGTTAAAGACGTGACACAGAAAAGTGTTGTGTTCAGCTCCTGTTTCCTTTACTGTCAGAGTTTGTCCTCCTCATTTGATCTAACAGCAGGGTTAATGCTGCTCCTGTTATTCTGTGTTTGATTATTTGTTCAGGAAAATCCCACAGTGATTCGTTTGTTCCTTAATTCTTCACACAGTGATTTCCAGAACAAATCTATTGATTGTTTACATTCCAGATTTCAAAGTTGATTTCCTGGACATTCGCGTTCAGAGATGGGTGTTACGAAACATCACGACACAGTCATGTCAGAGGATCGACTTTAGGAACAGAGGTGAAAATCTGTGATGATAGATGCACCACCATGTTCTTTATGAGATGATTAGCTCATTTACTGTGTGGTCTTATATACATTGAGCTCCAGCTCAGACTGTGATCACCGCCCGCTGCATCCTCATGCTCTGCATCACTGTCACTTCTAAAGCCACATTTGTCTTAGCATATTTGGACCACATTTGATATTGAGTTGAGCAACTTTAGGCTCACAACCATTTTGTACGGGCCACAAGAAGGCCAGAAGTGCTGTTATAAAAGTCCCCAAAACCACAAATAGGCCCTTAACATTGAAGGGTTAAAATAGAACATGTATAAAAGTCCAAATCGACATGTCTCATTGGTTGATGTCCCTGATCATACACTATGCATGTGGTCCATAGATTCGTCCAGAAAAGGGGTCCATGTATGGACAAATGGCTTGTCCTCATCATGTATTTGACACAGAGAGCCCTTACTGTGATAATAACATGAGAGTACAACTGATGGTCACTTAGAAGACAGTAGATAATTGGTGGAGAGACGAGAGGAGAGAGGGCAGCATGTCTCAGCCTTCCCTCTCTGGTGATTCTACTCCTCTTTATTCTTATCAAAAATATCTGTAATAATGTGAGGACTTAAGGTTGACAGTTTTATATTTGCCGGTTTTAGCGTACGTCCCTAATATTTCCAGTGTTGTAGTTTGTTTTTATTTTTGACCGGCACGAGACAAGTCTGTGAGTTGTGGTGGTAAAAGCACAAACTGCTGCGAACAAGTTTGTGCTTGTTGTTTGCTGCTGTTGTTGTTTGTCATCAGGATGAGAGAAACTGCATCAAGTAGTGTCAAAAACAGTTTTTTCTTTTGCCAATGAGCTCAAAGTTCCCCATTTAAAAGTCCTTATATAGTGAAGAACAGGTTAGTGAGCAAGTTGGTGTTTTCAGACACTGCCAACATGAACTCTTAGCAAGAGTGATTAAACTATAAGCTGGGTGTCGTACTTGGTGTATATAGTGATCATAAACCATTAACATTATTGAGCACAGATATGCCTGATCTAGACAAAATAATACCAAGGTTTCTGTTGGAATGCATAGTGGACATTTTATTCAGACAACTGTAGCCATACACTGGTATAATGTTTAAGCAGCATTGATCATGTGCTCAAGTTATGAAGATACAAGCTAACTGTTAAACAACACTCAGCTCTAACACTTTGAGGATCTTCGAAATAAATCTGGTTAAAAAAAACAAAAGTTGTGTTTTGGTGGAGGGATTTCCTTCCAGCTCTGCTTTGGTTGTTACTTTTTGATGAGTGATCCAACAGGCAGGAAGTTTTCCCTCACTATGCTGCAACGTTTCTGTTTCCAATAAAGACAATTACAATCATGTTAGCAAATAATGTAGAACTGCAAAGTAAAATACAGTTTAAAAAAACATTCAACACAATAACACGATACACAATAACTAGAATGGCACAAAGGCCCAACAGACTCTCATGAAACCACATTTACATTCACTTGATCCAGATTTTTATTTGGATCTGCACCACATTGCACACACTCATAAATATCATATTTTCATCAAGATCCATTAATTATTGTCTGAGTAATGAATGAAAATCATTCGTGCTAACTAACAAATAAACCAACCAGCAGACAGAGGTGCCGAAGTTAATAAAAATCAAGTTGTAATTTGTTATAATAATTAAAAATAATCCTAGAACACTTACCCACTGATGATCATAGCTTCGACAGCCTAAAAAAAATCAAATAAAAACAGCCGTGAATTTTTTAATAAGTCCTTAAAATGTTCTTATTGAGATCTGACTCAATGCATTCCTGCCTGACAACACCTACAGAAGAAAACCTGTTCTGAACAACACTGGTTTGTCAGTGTAGTTTTTTTTTATCTAGTTATGAATCACCCTTTACTTACGAATGTTTACAAATGCATCCAATTATTGATAATTCATCTTCAGTCATAAAGTTACTGACTATGTCCACTCTGCTTCTTACTGAGAATCAGATCTCAGAGATTCATGTTGGTTAGCTGACAATAAAAAAGGCAGGAACAAAAAGCATTGTGACACATTTAAATACAAAGCACTTCATGTATGTATACTTACAGCTGGTATGAGTGATTCTGCGATCGGTGCATCTAACAGCCACACTGTAATCATTCCATTCACAAGGAATATACGTCAACTCTCCTTCCTTTATAAACTGATTCTCAGACAGCCGTAAACCATAAGTATAATAACCAGGCACCATGACACAAAATGCATCTGCACAAAATGAACAGAAAGAAACACATGAATAAATATTTAGGTTTCAAAAATATTTCAATATTTGACAGACTAATAGAATTAAAATTAGTGTTGACTTCTTTGCAGACCTTTGCAGATGGGGATTTGTGACCAAGAGCCGTCGTTGTAACACACAACATCTTCTGGACCGACTTGTGTGTAAAAAGCATTACACGTAAATTTCAAAAACATTCGATCCTGAACCACAACTACGCCATTAGGAACGAGTGGCCATGTCCCACAGTCTTTGACTGAAATGGAGAGAAACAACGATTATTTAAGTCTGTCTCAGTATCTCAGTCAAAAAAAAACAAACTCCATGTCATTAGCAACATAACTTGTCTTCCTAAAATTAACATCGTGTAAAAAGCCAATTGGCACTGCTGACAACTGAAAATCTGCTTTGTGCGGTAATAAACAAAGATTTTGACCCAAATCATCCCCAAATGTTTCTATTTGCTGAATTAACAGTGTTTACTTATATTCTGATTTTTTATGACTGCAACTGGCATCCAGGGTGGCACAGTGATTAGCACAGTGGTTAGCACAGTGGTTCACAACCAGCAGTACTTTCTTGATTTGAATGCAGGTTGCTTGGGCCTCCTCCCACAGCCACTATAAAGTCCTCATATGTTCATATCTCATCATATTGTTAGTATCTGTCTGGAACTAACGTTTCCTGTTTTGTGGTCCCCCCCACCCCGCTGCATTGAATACAACGAAATGTGCACATTGTCACATGAGGCTTTTTCTTTTATTAATTCAGTTGTGCACATCTGAAGATCAAGTAGATAAAAAGACTTCTAGGGGGCTTTCACACCAACCACATGGTTAGGGTTAGGGTCTTGCAAACTTTTTATTGTCTCGCACCACCGTCTGTACTGGCCCTACGGATCAATTGCAGGAAGTTGTTTAATGTTAAACAATAGAAGAAGAAAAGAAAGCCGAGTCAATTTTCTTTTAGAATATAGGACAAGATGGTGAGCGTCCCTTGTAATAATGAATTAATTCACTTTCTCTATTCAAATAGAAAGTCTAGCCTCTATGCACTTAATTAAAAAAGGATGGTGAATACAATAAATGAATTCATAACACAGTGATGCCAGATGCCCACCCGACCAATCAATGTCTAGGTAGGTATAGGTTGACACAGTCTAAGTAGGTGAGGATGACAGGATGTGCATCATACAAAGTCTTCATGCGCTCCCCAAATTACAATGTGGAACCAAAACTACAGTAACTGGATCAAATGTAAACCATGTAACAAAGACTTGAACCTTGGCTGTGAAATCGCCTTAAATCTGCTTGATAGAATTTCCAAAGGACTTTCAAGGATCTTTATTTTCACGACGAGCAGCCAATGAAGAGTTTATTCAACCAGTCAAATGTCATCTTGTCCATCCATGATCCATTCATTACTTATGATGCATAGAGTTTGAGGCTCATGGGGAGAGTTGGAGCCATGATGACGACGGTTCAGACAAGACCAAGTAATTAACTGACCTGTTTTAAATGAGTCTGAGTGACTTACTGGGTATCATGATAGGTCTGGTGTCAGAGGTGCTGGGATATCCTGTGAGACACAGAGCACATGAAGACACACAGTTATATATCACATTAGGATGTTATTTCTTTTTTACTCATTTAGAGTGTTGTCTACAGACATTTTGTACCTTTTGAATTTTTAACTAACTTTAAATCACTGAGTGGGTTCTGCTTGTATTTTACCACAGTGAGAGAAGAGACAATGACCTACCTCCACTCCCAGGTTGTGTCCCTGGGCCAGAGGACGTGCTGTGTCCCCTGCCTGTTCCCACCTCCACAGAAACATGTCCACTATCTGGTCTGCTGCCTGAATGAAAAAATAAACATCAGTAACATACCTCCACCTCGCCCACTCCCAGGTTGTGTCCCTTGGCCAGAGGACGTGCTGTGTCCCCTGCCTGTCCATACATATT